GCAGAGTTTTAAAGAATGAGAAATGCATTTGTTTATGGCTCCAGAGTACATGGAGCTGGTCAAAAGTAACAAAAGCACCAGTGAGAAACATAACATAGCCACTTCAAACTGATGTCTTAATTATAGCCATCAACTAACCATTAATGGTTAAGCATTAAAAGTGTTGTTGCCATTCAGTTATGTTAGTTGCCTCTCCAGAACTTTATAAGCCAAATTAGACTACTAAGCATCCATCCATCTTCTGTACTATTTCTCAGGGTTGCAGGGGAGCCTGGAGCCTATCCCAAGGAGGTCAGGGCACAGGGCGGGGCCAACACATCACAGGGCACAATTGCACACCACGGACAATTTGGAAATTCCAGTGAGCCTACAACACATTTGAACCCCCATCCCCAGAAGTGAGAGGCAAATGGGCAAATCAATAAACCACCATGACCCCATCTGCTAAACATCATTGTTGAATATCAAACATTGTTGATAGACTATGACAGATGGTCAATGACAGTTACATGACTTGTTGTTGACAATATACGGATTTTATCAAAAAATTGATTTTTTTTTTACTCTACTTCCTCTACAAGTCCAAATGACTCACTGTAAACCCTAATGTTGCATTGTAAACCATAATGTTGTATTTACTTAAACAATCATGTAATCGTGACGAAGCATTACTTAAAATGTGTTTTGGACTCATAAATAAAAAATTTGTTTAACTTATTAAATTACAAAATACATAAGATTTCAATTGTTATGAACTGAAAATCATTATTTATTAAAATAGATCACTCCGGTCTTTCTTCGATGTGGTTGGCCATGCAAGGACTTCTGCCTGGCAACAAGTGAACTAATGCATTAAGTGTACCAAGAGTTGCACCAAGAGTTCATCATGAGTGGACGAGATGACTCTGTGTGTGTTCACAAAGAAATGGCAATTAAGTAGAGGCTGTTTTGTAAAGTTACTTTTTGCTAAAAAGTGTTAAGTTAAGCATATAGATTCCCTGGTAGACTAGTGGCTAGCATATGGTGCTATCATGTGGTGCTCTCACCACCACAGCCCGAGTTTGATTCCCGTTCAGTGAATTATAAAGTGAACTTTATGAGCACCAACTTAAGTGAACTTAAATATGCAAGTTTTAGGAGACCCCATTACTCAATTAAATTGATGGAACAAATGTATTAAATCAATTGAGTACAGTCAACTTGTTAGGGTTTTCAGTGTACCTCAAACTAACAAAGACCTCTATGAGCTCTATTACTAATACTGTAACAAATTTGCAAACAAGATGTTGACTGCAATCAGCAACGTGACTCACTTTGTCAATAAATGTCTTGATACAAACCAAATGCTAATTATTTAATAATGAGAAGCGTATCCTGAGCATCAGACATCTTATTAGTCACTCATAGAAACTAGTCAGCTGTAAAATGTCAAATATATTGTAATGTGAAGAATGTGATTTATTTTACGTATCAGCGAACCATCACCGAAACTATTGCTGAGAGATTCTTTCATAATTCCTACGTGATGCTAAGGTTAATGGTAAATGGTGAGATTATATTACTTAATTACTGACAGGTTTAATGATCTCAATTTTCCAAACAGAAAGCCCATTGAAACCCACTGAAGCCCATATGTTCAGCATCATTAAGTCATATTAAATTATCATTTGTTTGCTTGAGAAATCTTTATTCAATTTCTCAGCCATTCATGAAAATTAATTATGGTACCTAGCTGGAAATTACTTTACCCTAATTAGTGACATTGCCATAAATCATCTTATATTTCACATATGAGTGAATGCTAAATCTTTAACTTTTATGTCTTTAAGGACAAATGAGACAAGTGAACTCTAAATATGAACAGCTATTATAAATGAATAATAATTGTCCTTCATTGAAACGTAATGAAGGTAAAGTATATTTAGGCATGCTAGTTTGAGGTTTTATCTCCATCAAGTGTAACAGACTTTTCAAGAGACAAGCTGATATAGAACTGCATTAAATCATCAATCATTTGAAAATAAAGTTGGTATAGTCTCCATTTTTGCAGATTGTTTTCATTGTTTTGTGTCTGCATATATTTCAGCTTGCTAACTTTAAGTAATACGAGTTTACTTTGACTAAATTTGAGACTATGCAGACAACCAATTGTAAAATGCACCAAATGTGGCATTTGTCATTTAATTAGATTGTTTTGGCTATATATATATATATATATATATATATATATATATATATATATATATATATATATATATATATATATATATATATATATATATATATATATACACACACAGTCATGGACGAAAGTATTGGCACCCCTGGAACTTTTTCAGAAAATGCACCATTTCTCCCAGAAAAGTGTTGCAATAACAAATGTTTTGGTATTCACATGTTTATTACCTTTAAGTGCATTGGAACAGCACAAAAAAGCAGAAGAAAAAAGGCAAATTTGACATCATTTTAGACAAAACTCACAAAACACAAAACTCCCAAAATGGACTGGACAAAATCATTGGCACCCTATTAAACTGTGGGTAAATAATTTAATTTCAAGCATGTGATGTTCATTTAAACTCACATCTGGCAAGTAACAGGTGCTGACAATATAGAAATCAAAATTGAAGCCAGTTAGAGTGTATAAAAGTTGGCTCAACTTTTGCGTTGTGCCACACCAAGCATGGAGAAGAGAAAGAAGAGCCGAGAATTGTCTGAGGAATTAAGAAGCAAAATTGTGGAAAATATCAACAATCTCAAGGTTACAAGTCAATCTCCAGAGATCTTAAAGTTCCTTTGTCCATTGTGCGCAATATAATCAAGAAGTTTATAACACATGGAACTTTGGCAAATCTCCCTGGACGTGGACGGAAGAGAAAAATTGATGAAAGAATGCAACACAGGATAGTTCGAATGGTGGATAAACAACCTCAGTCAACTTCCACGCAAATTCAGGCTGTCCTGCAGACTCAGGGTGCATCAGTGTCAGCTCGAACCATACGTCGTCATCTGAATGAGAAGAAGCGCTATGGCAGGAGACCGAGGAGAACCCCACTTCTGAAACAGATGCATAAAAAAGCCAGACTGCAGTTTTTCAAAAATGTACCTGAGTAAGCCTCAATCCTTCTGGGAGAACGTTTTGTGGACAGATGAGACTAAGGTAGAGCTTTTTGGCAAAGCACGTCATTCTACTGTTTACAGAAAGCGGAAAGAGGCCTACAAAGAAAAGAACACAGTACCTATATATATATATATATATATATATATATATATATATATATATATATATATATATATATATATATATATATATATATATATATATATATACATATAGGAATTTCATGGTTTTCTGAATAAATTTGTCATAAAATGTGATCTGATCTTCATCCAAGTCAGGGGTATTGACAAATATAATGTGCCTAAAAGAATAACACAAAAAAAGTAAGTGGACCCTTAGAATTAATAACTGGTTGACCCACCCTTGGCAGCAATAACCTTAACCAGGTGCTTCCTGTAGCTCTGGATCAGACCTGCACATGGTTCAGGAGGAATTTTAGCCAATTCTTCCTGGCAGAACTGCATTAGCTCGGTCATATTCTTTGGATGTCTATGTATGGCTTTCTTCAAGTCATTCCACAGCATCTCTATTGGCTTGAGGTCTGGGATCTGACTTGGCTACTCCAAAAGTTGGATTTTGTTTTTCTGAAGCCATTCTGTTGCGGAATTGCTCCGGTGTTTTGGGTCGTTGTCCTGTTGCATCACCTAACTTCTATACAGTTTCAGCAGATGTACAGACATTCTCACATCATCCTGAAGAATTGTTTGATATACTTGGGAATTCATCTTCCCCTCAATGACAGCAAGCTGGCCAGGCCCTGATGCAGCAAAGCAGACCCAAATAATGATTTTTCCTCCAAAATACTTTACGATTGGGATGACATTTTCATGATGATATGCCGTGCCCTTTCTACGCCAGATGTGGTGCTGTGTGGTTTTTCCAAATAGTTCAATCTTAGTTTCATCAGTCCACAAAACATTTTGCCAATGCCACTGTGGAGTGTCAATATGCTCTTTTGCAAAATTCAAGCGTGAAGCAATGTTCTTTTTAGTAAGCAGTGGCTTCTTTCATGGTGTCCTGCCGTAGATACCCTGCTTGTTCAATGATTTACGTATTGTAGACTCATGGACAGAGATGTTAGCCAAAGATTTGAAGGCATCGTTGGAACTGGCTGTCATTCGGGGTTGTTTCTTTAGCTCATTGATGAGTCTTAGATGTGCTCTTGGTGTCATTTTGACCAGATGCCCAAATCTTGGTAGAGTAGCTCCAGTCCCAAAGTGTCTCTATTTGTAGAATGTTTGCCTAATTGTAGACTGGTGAAGTCTTTGAAATCACTTTGTGACCCTTGCCAGCTTTATGTAAATCAACTATTCTTGATCGTAGATCCTCTGAAAGGATCCTCTGATCCTTTTTGCAAGGCATGGCTTACATAAGCATGTGCAGAGCAAACTCCAAAGGTTTGAGGGGTTTTTATCAGTCAATGTAGCTGTAGTCGAGCTCTCCAAACTCATTTTCTTAACGAGACTCCAGGTGTGCAAAAAAATAGCTTTTTTGAGGTAATTAACTCAAGGGTTCACATACTTTTTCCACAAGCACTATGAGTTTTTTTTGGGTTGTTCTCAATAAAGACATAAAAGATTCGAAAATTTTTTTGTGTTCTTTTTCTTGCCACCGTATATATCCAATTATTCATTTAATCCATCCATCTTCTACCGCTTACTCCTTTTCAGGGTTGCGGGGTAACCTGGAGCCTATCCCAGTGAGCATCAGGCACAAGGAGGGGTACAACCTGGACAGGGTGCCAGTCCATTGCAGGGCACACTCACATACACACACACACACACTACAGACACTTTAGACACGCCAATCAGCCTACCATGCATGTCAGCCTACCATGCATGTCTTTAGACTGGGGGAGGAAACCCCCAGTCCACACACATGGCCCTGGCGGGAATCGAACCCCTGGACCCTTTGAGGCGAGGGGGGTTTGAGGGGGTGTGAGCCAAACGTGCTAACCACTAAGCCACCATGCACCTACCTATACCACTAAAATTTTAAAAAATCTAAATAAAAAATCTAAAAATTTAAGTAAAAGTCTACTTAGGTAATTCTTGAATTAGTTTTCTCTATTCTGATTGGACAGTTAGATCACATGATGCATCCAACAAATCCAGGAAGTTTGCCTAGAGAGATGTACATTTGACTGGATTCAGTAAAAGCAGTTGCTGGAAGTCAGTCCTTCTCCAAACTTCTTGTTGGAGTGTCAAGAGTGAGCATGTCAAGAGTGATATAACCACATTCTATCAAGTACATTACTTACAATCACTGGCCACTTTATTATGAACACCTGTACAGATTGAGCTTCAGTTAATATTTTCATCAAACACACAATCTCTAGCATAAAACCTAAAAACATCTGGTGAGCAGCATTTCAGCAGACACAAACTGACAGTTGAAGACCTGAAGAAGGCAATGTTTTTCCAATCTCATATTTCTGGTTTTGGCTTACAGAAGTGGAACCCAGTGTGGTCTTCTGCTGTTGTAACTAGAGATGCACCAATGCTAAATTTCTCAGCTCAGTGATATCACCTGTTGCCAATACCGATAGTTTGGTGGTTCTGTCTTTTATACCTTCTTTGAAATTAATAATGATTTATTCCACAATTCTGAAGGAAATGCAAATAAAAACTTTATTCTCACAATTTCAACGTGTTGTTTCACAGTAACTGGTCTCATAAACAGAAAACACATTACTCAAATTAACATTAACACATTAATTAATTCTGAGTATTAAGTTGCGATTTCTTAACTTATTGAATCTTATTAATTCATATTAACATTGACTGAATTAAAAAAAACCCTCCTGTTAGGCTCATTAACTCATTAACAGGATATGAAATATACTACTCTACAAAATATATTTTTCTGTGCAATATATACCTTTTTTGGTCAACTCATCTCCATTTAAATCTTTCAACAGTGTGCTGGAGCTTTAATTCAGTGAGAGCAGCTTGAACAGCGTGGCAAAAATAAATAAATTAGACTCAACGACAAAACTCACTTCCACTGCTACAGCGTTTGGTGTAAAAACACTCATTCATTAACATGCAGCGCAAAGCTTACAAACTGCAGATTTGTCATCATTGTCATCCAATTTAAAGTAATTCCACACAAGAGATATCTTCTTTACACACAGCATAAATTCAATGTGTTTCCTGCCCTCTTTTGATTGACAGGATATAATCAGCCCTGACCATCGGATGTTTTTAAACTATCGGCCGATGACCGATAATGTGAAAAATTGCCTTTATAAGCCAATACCTCTAATCTCTAGTAATCTCTAGTTGAAAACCATCTGCCTCATCCTTAGGTTTGATGTGTTGTGCATTTGGAGATGATTTTCTGCTCACCAGAGTGCTTATTTGTGTCACCAGTCTGACCATTGTCATCTGACCTTTCTCATCAAAAGGTGTTTCAGTTTGCAGAATTGGTGCTCAGTAGATTTTTTTTTTTTTGATTTTGCCCCATTTTCAAGAGACTCTCATGTGTGAAAATTCTAGGAGATCAGCAGTCTCTGAAATACTCAAACCAGCCAATCTGGCAACAATAAACATGCCACAGTCAAAGTCACTGAGATCACATTTCTGATCACTGAAGCTCTTGACCTGTATCTGCATGATTTTATGCACCGTGTTGATGCTACATGACTGGTTCATTGGATATTTATATGAATAAGCAGGGGCACAGGTTTTTCTAATACAGTGGCAATTGAGTATACATAATTATATATCAGTCTAGAAATCAGAGCAAAATTAAGTATTCTGCTATTTTTTATAGTTCTAAATAAATTTACATTAGGTACAAAATTCATGTGACTGTCCATAATCCAAAAAACTGATAAACTGTTTTGGAAGGTCAAGAAATATGAGACATTGCCATAGTAAGGCTATGAGACATTGCCATAGTAAGGCTTCAAGCATTAATCTGCATATTGGACTACTCTCTTCCCACCTAAGCTTAAAAAAGAAATAAGGTGATGAATACACAATAACAGTTTCATCCATTAATTCAGCAATGGAAAGGTCTGATGGGGCATGAGGGAACCAAGGTCACGTTCCCCAGAGGATCCTGGTTCACCCAGAACCATGAGCCATCCATGAAGTGCAAGCCTGTCCATACACTGGGTGTTTGACTAGTCGTGATCATTTTCTTGGCTACAAGCAGGTCATTGTTGGTGGTCAGGCTTATCAGGTCATTGTAGTGTGTTCTGCAGTACTTCAGTGCCTCTTCCCAGCTCATCTTCTTCTGCACCATGGTTATACGAGACACCCTTGTATAACAGATGAATGGCATAACATCTGAGCAGTCTTGAACAGCAACCACGGTATTTAACATAGACACACAAATTGTCCGATATCGTCAGCTCACTGATATTCAAAATTGCATTATTCTAATTTGCTTCCATCAGACCACGGAGTATAGGCAGCCTCCATCAGGCTTATTCTAAGGCTGATCCAGTTGCAATTTAGCTCCTCTAATGAGTTAATGGTCGCCAGGTCATCATAATGGTTTCTGCAGTATGTCTGAGCATCTGTCCAGTTCAAAGCATCGTGCACAATAACATATTTTCTCACAAACAGACAAGTAGCTGCTCCTGTTATAGCCGCAAAGAGGAGGACAGCATGAACAGCCTTCATCTTCTGATGTGATGTATTTGAGCTCTGTTCTGAACAGCTCTGGGATGAAATCACTCACAAAAGCAGTAAACAAAAGAAAATGCAAAACCAAGATGCACAACTTTAAATAATCATCACAGGAAATGACCCATGAAAACATTTGCATTTACAGTTTATGTGGCATTTGGCGCTCACCCTTATGTGATACTTGTTGTAATCTCAAGCTAGTGCAAATTGTCATTTTTCATGTAGTCCTTTAAAGCACATAGGACTATATTTAAAATCTCTACAGACTCAGATGTCCTCTAAGAGGATTTCATTGGCTTTATGTATAACGTATAACATTTCTGCAACACCTAGGTGCACAGGAGGAAGGCGAGTTCAGAAATGTAAGGAAGACTTATTCTCCAACATGGCTTTGCATGATCGAAAATTATTTTTGTCCTTATTTTCTGCCAAGCTGAGCCACAGGTGTGAAAGGGGTAAAAAAGTGAAAGTAGAAAATGTACTGGAAGAATTTAGCCTTACATTCTTGCCAAACAGGTGACTGCAGCTAATCTGTATAATGAGCCCAAAGCAATTAACAGGAATAATGAGGCATGAAAACACATTTCATGCAGTGATGAAACCAGTGGGATGATTAGGCACCGTGCTTGTGCTCTTGTTTCTGGTCTGCCAGCTATAGGGATTCACATTGTGGCTGGTGTTGAAAATAACCGCCATTTTAAAATGCACTGTGCTTTCACACATAAAAAGCACATATATTATTCCTGAACTAGCTCATTTCCTTCTTTAATAAGTTCTATGCCTATACTTTGCCATTAAAACTGCCACCGGCTTCAGTATTCTATTCTCTTCTTTTCTTACCAAGTTACTCTGTGAATCTTTCTCCATTCTTTTTGGCATTTGTTTAAACAGATCACATATACACCTTCTCAGGTCTTAAAGGTCAAGGCAACATTTTTCTAACGTTTTTTGTAGATTTTTTTTGTTGTTGATTTACAGTTTGTTCCATAATACTCACACATTTCATTTTTAACATCACATAATTCGAGGTATTTGTAGAAATACTGCAAAATATAGAAACATCAAAAGCCCTTGGGGTATGCAAATTTTTTCCTTTGTATAAAAAAAAAATATTGATATTCAACTATGCAACAGCACATTGAAAATCACTGTAGATGAAAGCATCTGCTAAAAATTATCCTTTTGAAATGCCTGATACTTATACATGTTGTTTAAGCAAAGTATTGCCTTTGGATTCAAGCCTGGAAGAAAGTCTGAAGGGACAGCTGAAGGACATGGTAAATGTGCACTTATATAGCGCTTTTATCCAAAGCGCTTTATACTGAGTCTCATTCACCCATTCACACACACAGCAATGGTAGCAGAGCTTCCATGCAAGGTGCTAGCTTGCCATCAGGAGCAACTTGGGGTTCAGTGCCTTGCCCAAGGACACTTCGGCATGTGGAGTCACCCAGGCCGGGAATCGAACCGCCAACCCGATTAGTGGACACTCTACTCTACCAACTGCGCCACAGCCGCCCATTATCATGAGAGGGTGCAAAACATTAGCACATTTTTAGAGACAAATGTCTTAAATTATCTCTAAATGTAAGTGCTATAGACATAAATGCTTAACTGACTAGAAACATCATTTCTCCTAAACTCTGGAAAAATTATAAAATAATTTAATCAATAAAATAAAACTGATATTGGGTTCTCTGTCCAAAATAAGATTGACACGATCTCCCCTGCAGATGGTGCTGCGGCACACAACGTGCACAGAAAGCCGGAGGGCCCGCGCGTGCATGAGCGAGAGTGCGCGAGCACTAGGCGAGCACATGCTCTTTGATTATCGTATAGATTATGGTGACTTTGTTTACTATGGACACCTGCATTTGTTCTGGCTACTGTATTGTCTCCTCCCTGTTCAGGTTTTGGTTGATGTTGTAGGGTGTTCTTCATTGTTTCCAGCTATCTGCTTTTAATATCGATTACGCGAGTCATAAGATATGTGCAGTATAAGATATGGTTAACTAGCTAACGGAATTTAAGTATATGTATGTGTTAGGTACCTTGATGCTAAGCAGTCGTGTTCTCGTCGTCTTGTTTTTGTTTCATGCCTCGAATCTAGCTTCAAGTTTAGACTGCATTTCACGTTTATCGACGTTGCGTTTGTAAATAAAGACTTTAATCTGCACTTGCTTCCGCTCGAGTCCCGTATCGTAAAAAAAGATTTAACCCTAGATTTAACCTGTGATGACTGTGTATAAACTTACTGTGTTACTATTACTATTTTGTGAAACCAAAGGTTAAGGGCTGTTAAGGGCTTGAATGCTAAAACAGCCTTTTT